ATGAATGTAATGCATAATTATGATTACTTAGATTTTAATAATTTCAAGCTACTAGTTTGTCCGTTTAACAGTATCTTCTCAATTGCAACGTTAATTTTTTGTGATAAGGTTTTTTATACAGTGTGTATATATATATATTAATTTTTTTATTTTCATTCGTTTTTAAGGTATAGCAAACACAAATAGAGATGTTTAGCGATTGTATGTCGTGTCGAGTGATACATCAGTTCTTTTTATTTAGCATGGTACGCCACGTAGTCCAAGGAGCCCATACGTTCCGAAGTACAGCAGTGATTTTGGCCGACATCTATTGTACATGTATTTATTGCCTGAGCCAAACATGGGCTATTTAAAGCAGCCGGTTTCACCACATCCCCCTCAGACGCCGCAGTTTCATACTCCTCAAGGTATGTATTTTTGTGATTATATGGTCTAAACATTTTATATGGTGGATGTAGTGGGTTAAACAGTCGCAAATGCTCTCTTGATTCTAAACATTAGAAATAAACAGATTTCTGCCTTCAAAAAGCCTTGCCTGTGGGGGGTGTACTTTAAGTTCCAAGCGGGAGCCTACCGAACTTCTTTTGTACGTTACGCAACACGGACAATGCATATGCTGTGACATGTAGATGGTGGTTGCAATGTTAACTATTGTTGCATGTGAAGTAGGGGGTCTTAGACCAGTCTATGTTATCAGTCAATATGAAATGGCATCTTTAAACGGAGCATGTCAAAGGCTGAATCAGTACAACAGAATGTGAAGTAATGTAAGTTTCGTCAGAGAGGTGAGAGAGAGCAGCTGGCTAATGGCGGTGCTGTAAAACTGAAACCCTGTGGATTATTTGTATTAGAAGATCGTTACCATCCGGAGATTGGTTGCTAGACTGATTTTTTGGAAATAGGGAACGATCAGGAGAAGCATTGAACGTTTAATGTAAGTATTGCACCTGTGAGTTGATTTTCTTGTTTTATCGTCATATACCTTTAACAAGGATGGAAAACAAACATGGATTCGAAACGTAGATTTAGGCCTCACCGTTATTCGTTAACTACGACTGCGCAGCGCAGCATGGAAGGATGTATGTTAGTGGAAATACTAGGACTGAACAGGAAGACGAACGGACGGATAAAGCGCAAGCAAGATTATTCTGCGATGTCATTGCGATTGAAGAAGCTGAGCTGGCAATGGGACGGGCGCGTTGCAAAACGTGTCTACTGTCACGATCCGAAGAGACGCTAGATTGTTGTTATACTTTACAGAGCTGATGCAGGAAAACTGTTCTATCTCACTGCTGATGCCTAACCTGTATTAGATGTTGCCGCGAAAGTTGGCGGTGTGTCTTTCGTTCAGTGGTTATTTGTTATTCGTGGCATTCAACGACAAAGTGTGAACTAGGACTTCGTGCGACCGAATGCGAATACATACCGATGAAAACGACGATGGTTGTTTGACTTGATTTTGCTGTCAGGGCGCAGTGTAAAGTGCGGTTTTAGAACTAAGGGAGGTTATAGACAGTTATGGAGGGTTTGTCCTTACCGCAGTTGCTGGCTTGTAGATGTAGTCGCTTGATGCGTCATATTTTTGTGCCTTCCACATTGACATGACGTGATTTAGGTAAAGAAGTGAAAATTCGCCGTTCCAGAATATCGATGTTCAAGTCAGGCATGCAGAAGCTAGGCGAGTATCTGGCGCATTGTCGACGTCGACCTGATGTTTTACTTTCCAACTGAATTGATGTTCACGTTTCAGCCGAGACACTCGAGGAATCAACGGTGCGGCCACGATCTCCGGCGATGAACAACGAGGAACCAATCGAGCTGTCTCATTATCCGGGTGCGTACGTTCCAGCGCCCAACAAAATACCTGCGATCGAACGGGACGACTTTCCCGCCCCTCCGTTTCCGTACGCCGTCGACGGTGGGTGTTCGAGCGCTGTTTAGTAGATTTTTTTGTTCACTTTTTCACTGTAGTTGTTTGTATATAAGTGTTTTAGCAGATATTCTGTTTCTGGTATCGCCCCCCCCATAAAGAAAATCAGTGGTAAATACCCTGCAATTTTCTAAACTATATGTGTAAATTAAAGGAATAACAATTAGCATTGTTCCACCTGTTTGCGCGGCATTATGGCGTCTTTCTTGCTCCTGAAAGCGTAACGTGATCCACTCTCTGAATAGTTATGTTAGTTACAATTAGTCTATGCCAGATTCAGTTCATTCATGAAATTCTGTCTTCAGAACCGGCTATTTCTGCAGTAGCAGATTCTGCAGCCTTAGAATATGTCTCTAATGCTCCAATGCACGACACACTTGGTGTTCAGCATTGGTTGAGTGTAATGTTCTATCTGTCCGTCAGCCATGTAGCATATGAAGAGAGCCGGTCTTTCAAACCTCTACACGATGGCACCCTTCACCGTGTTTCTAGACTAGTGCGATTGCAATTGCTCGATTTTCAGAAGCGGCTTTTTGTTAACCTTAATGTCCGCTAAGTATATCAGTAACGGAATCGCTCCATTTTCCTGCAATTTTCAGTACTATGCACAACAGATAAGGCGAAGAAGAACACTTGCGCTGATGATGATGGTGTTTCAAATGATTGTAATGATAGGAACACGTTTCAGTTGCTCTAGTTGAAGTAATCCTTCTTCGCGATAGTACGACATCCACTGCCACAAATTCCAGCACACCAAATATTGGATGGAACAAGTGTCAGCTTGATGAAATTTCTCACTTTATTACTTCTGACTTGCTGCTAGCCGTTTGCGCTTGTATTACAAACTAGATGCTTGTCTAAATTTACAAAAGTTGTCTTAACCACACTGTTATTTATTAAGAGTACAAGCGACGCCTTTCATCTACGAGTCCAACCGCAGAAGATGAAGAAGAGGTAGTCGACAGCTCTAAGATGGAGAAAGGTGAGCAAGAGCTGATGAAATTCCAAGATGAGTGTTCAATTGCTAAGGTGGTTGTTCAGCAACTTGAGGTATATTTCTTTTTCGTTTTCCTATAGTTCGAGTATTTTAATTTTACTCTGCCAGGAACACATGCGAAAAATGAAGATACCGTCGCACTTCGATCCTCGATCAGCTTCGAGGACGCCGTCAGCGAAGAAGATTCCATACATGAAGTGTCGTTATGAATCTCCAGTGAACGCATGTACGATCCCGACTGTGTTTTCGTTGCAGCTCGTTTCATCTATACGTTATGCTTTTACTTTAGCTCCATCGCGGTACCTGAACAGACCTCGACCGTGGGAATGGTGGGACAAAGGCAGATGCGCCACGGCTACGATTCCATATGCCCAAGGTACGTTGGACGTGACTTCGATTTCTTTCATTATTAGACTTTGATTTCATTCTCGGATCATTCTGCGCAGTTCTTCTACTTGAGGGTGATTCCTTTTAAGTGAGATGCCACCCGCTTGGTAGACCTGAAGGTATCGGTTTCTTACCATATGTCGTGACTAACCCGAATAAATGATGTTTGCAGCAAAGTGAATTACTGTTTTAAACCACGTACGTTTTTAGACCTTGAAGAATGTTTTGTCTAAGCACATTTTAACTATTATTCAGGTCTAAACACAATCGCAGGTACAGTAGTTTTTCCCAAATAATAGTGCAAAGCTATCTGCGTGTAAAGTCTGTATATCTTTCAAAATGGGAATTCAGCCATGTAGAAACTTACAGAAGCTGATTTCCGTACGGTAGCGTAGAGTAATATGACTTTATACAAGCTGTTTCTGAAGATTGAATATCAGATTCGTGCTCTGGTGATTATGCTGAAA